GCTTCCCCTGGCATGTGGGCATACAGATTAGTTTTCTCTCCCACATGACAGCAGGTTGAGCCTACCCCATACAGAGAACACTATGCAGATTCGCTCACCGGCCTCCTTGTTTGTGCTGCATATGAGTGTACTGAGTATTCAAGCAGCGACTGCGCTGTCTCCCTCTGAGCTCACTGCCCACCTGGTGTCAGCTCTTCTGTATTTGTGTTTGTTGTGGCCTTAGTCAGGACAGTCCCAAAGCCATGAAGGCTGCAAAAACTGGTAGAATTTAAATCTAGTGCTGGCTGTGTTTTCTTGTATATCAAGTCACCCTACACACACAGCAGCTTAAAATTAACATTATTCCTGTTACCTGGAGTACAACGACAGTTTAAATGAAAGTCTTGAGTTGCTGTCTTCTGTCAGTAGAGCCCTATATTTGATGGCTTGATTGGTGAATGTTGCTTAGTCGGTGGGAGGCTTTAATTTGTTGCTTCCTGACCTCTTCGTAAGGCTGCTCCTGATATGGTAGCTTGAAGCATTAATCAAATTAATCTTTATCAATAAAAATGGGAGTCAAATATTGGGGTCAGAACCTGGAAGATCAGAGAACAGGGAGCAGTTGCCAGCTGCTTCCTATCTTTTTAGCTCCTCCATGCAAAAGGGCTGAGATCCTCTTTCTACCCTGCCTTACTGCTGAATAAGTACAATACCTTGAAGAAGATTAGAAACATGTGTACAGTATGTTCTAACCAAGATTACCAAAAAAAAGAAAAAAAAGAAAAAAGATTACCTTAAATTTGTATCAATATACAAACATATCTTAAGTAAGAGTAGAAACATATACAGCATAACAAAAATAACCTTAAATTTGTATCAATATAAAAAAATCCATACCAATGTTAAATATTGAAGACCAGTCATTGCTTTTTTGGTTTAAAAGATTCAATAATCTACCTTTTTATCCTATCATTTCTATATCTCTCCTTTTTCCATACACTAACAACTTGTAACCAACCCCCCACCCCAAGTGATAACAAATATTCATAACCCACTGAATGGTCAAGAACCACCCACACCTCCTCTTGGGGAAGTGGATGTCATGTTCTTAGAATTATTTCCTGTTTTTTGGGGGTGAAGGCATCTTTAGGGGGGTCCTGAAAAAATTGGGTTAATTGTCAAGTCCTGGGAGAAGTAGTTGTATCATTTGTTGTCCAGTCTCTGTGTAATGGAAAGGTACAGAGCTTGCCTTAAGTCCTGGCTAGAGTAGTCTGTGAGGCTGGACTATCTGATAACCTCATCTCAAAATTGACCTGAGCAGTTTGTAGCCCAAAGTTGATCTTTGGGTGGTGTTTGTCATCTTAGTGGAATTACCATAGTTCTGTTGGACTTGTCATTGTGGGGCATCATCCTCCTTTTGGAGACTTCAGAGGTCGCTGTTAGGCATGTTCATGGTTCACTGCAGAAAACTTAATCATTTTAAATGTCACATGCAGCAGATCTCAAAAAGTTAAAAGATTATAATTTGTTATGTACATCCAGAGTATAATTACTTAATGTCTAGTTACCTGATAGAGACTTAAACACAAAAACATGTATAGGAAACTATATGAAGTCTTTTTCTACAATTAGTTAGTACACTATATGACCATTAATATCATGACAAAAATTTAAATATATATTAATTTTATAAATTTTGAGATAATACTTATACATTAAGAAAAGCTTTAAAGAGTCAAAATAAAACCAAAGAATTACTAGATTAGTGGCAATAGAATAGTCCCTTAATTTTGTTTTTTTCTTCTGTCCCATATGAAGTGGTTCTTCTGACATGAGACAGAGATTTTTTTTTTGGATTTTCCTTTAATAAGTGTGCTTGGGTTTAGAGAAGGAGAAAGCCACATTTAATTCCAAAGCCAACTTTAATTTTTAATTGAACTAGGAGTACAAAAAGACCATTTGCATTATATGTCTGTAGAGAATAACAGAAACAAACATTTGGAAATATTTGTGAAATTTTATCCTGTTGGAAATATGATTTACCAATAGGCCAACTTGCTCCTTTTCGTGGGATATTTTCTCTGAATGATTCACCCTTTGCTTTAGATGTCTCATTTGTCCAGTGCTCTTCAGATTCCTTAGCTGGATGCCTTCATTCTCCTGGAAAGACAAAAACAAAACCCTGCCCCAACCCTAACTTTTGGGAGAGTCCTTTTTTTCAACTTATATCTGACCAAATGAAAAGCATTTATTAGTCTTATAAATTAGTTTAGATTGAATCGTCAAGCTGTTTGGTAAACTATCACCTCTTTCAGTCAAGCGGTCTTTCTTGTTTGACTCTAACTAATCTTTATCAATTTTGATGTTAATTCATAGCTTTTCCTCTCCTGTGGAAACAAAAGCAAAACCTCTTTCCCAACATAACACATATTCTGGTTTCCATTCTGAGGTCAACATATTTTTAAAGTATGCAGGCTGCTTTAGTTCAGCAGTTTTTTCTATTATCCAATGACTCTCTACAGCTGTCACTTTTTTCCTCATTAGCATTTAGAAAATTCAAAGCTAATAAAGCATTGTGCAATCTACCTCTGGGAGTCTTTATTACCCCTTTCCGTTTATTAGGTATATCTTTTAGAGTTCAATTGGATCTCTCTATAACTGCTTTCCTATAGGATTATGTGGTTTTACCTTCTAAAGCTGTCCTATCATCCAGAACAGTATGGGTTTTTTTTTTTTTTTTACAATAGGCGTAGGTCCTTTAATTATTCTGGGGAGGACTTTCCCCCACCATGACTGGGAATGATGAAATCAAATTTGACATGGGGAACTGCAAGAGGTCCTCCAAGGTATTTTCCTATGGCAAAGGGTTACCTTGTCTGTCCCTTGTTGATATGCCTTCCTTGCTCCAATGTCAACCTTTGCAGTACCTTCTGCATACTCTAGAAGGCAGGGGCCTTCTAGTTGGATTATTTCTACAAGAAACACGTTTCTAGTAACACCCTGCCTATAAGCCCTTTTCTGATGATTTTATTTAACACAATGAAAACATCTGACCTTTTAATTTTTCTTCAAGCCTTTGTATATCACCTCTCCTACCCAATTATTATCATGCTTGTAAGATTTAATATTGACTGTATCTCAGATCCATTCCTTGATGGGTGCTGATCTTTTCTTTAAAAGCCTAATTACCCGTTCACATTGTGAATTAACATTTTCAAAAGCCAAGGATTCAATTAATACTTGTTTAGCTTTGGGTTTGGTATCATTCTATTTATAGCTGTACTCAATGTTTGTAAAAAATCAGTGAAGGTTTCTTTCGAGCCCTGTATAACTTTAGTAAATATCTCAGTTCATTTTCCTACTTCTCCAACTCTGTCCCAAGCATTCAAAGCTGCTGCATGGAATAGAGCCAAGGTGTGGTAATTATATAGAGATTGTCTTTGTCATCTGTATAATCACCCTCTCTGAGAAGTTGGTCTTGGGAAAATTTATTACCTCTAGCCCTACTTCATTGTTCAATGATCCCAGCCTCATCTTTCCACCAGGTCTTCTACTGCAATTGAGGACCAGGTTCCAGTACTGCTGTAACCAAGTCTTTCCAGTCTTATGGGATATACATCTGTTGTAAGTTGACCACACATTTAACATCTGCCTCACAAAAGGTGAATGTATACTTTATGAGACTATTGTTTCCTTAAATCTCCTCAAATGTAACATTTCCATAGGAATCCAGCCAGCTCTTTCATAGCCTTGGGGAAATGCTTGTAATTTGGTAGTTGTTCCTGTATGGTGACTGGATAAATTAGGGTTGGTGTTTTGATAACCTTGGGTTGGTCCTCTCTAATTTTATAATGTAGTGGTGAGGTTGGTTTTCTTTTAAATTCCTCTATGTTTGTCTGAATATCTCTATTATCTGTTTTAGTAAGTTTTTTTAAGATTTGTGTTGCTGCTTGTTTTACTCCTTTTACTCTTTTGGCTTTTGGAAAGAGGGCTACCACCAAACTCCCAAATAAATCACACTCAGAGATTTACTCTATCTTATAAATGCCTGGCCTTAGTTTGACTTATTTCTAGCCAGATTTTCTTAACTTAAATGATCCCATCTATCTTTTGCTTCTGGACTTTTTCCTTTCTTAATTCTGTAATCTTTCTTTAGTACTCTTACTGCATGGATGGCTGGGTAGCTGGGCCCTTCTTTTCTTACTCCTTGACCTCTCTTTCATTCTCTATTTTCTCCTATTTATTCTCTCTGCTTGCCATCCCCACCTATCCTTTCTCCTGCCTTGCTATTGACCATGCAGCTCTTTATTAGGTATTTTAGATGGGCAAAGAACCACAGCTTCACAGAATGAAACACATCTTTGCCTCATTGAAACACATGTATAAGCACATGTAGCACATCATAAAATAATAATCCATAACAGTTTGTAACTTATCAGTCAAAATTGCAGTAGGGTTTCACTATGTGGCCCAGGTGGACTTTAAATTCCCCCATCAACTTGCTCTGCTCCTTTCCTGAGAAATGGGAAATAAAACTTTTAAAAAAAAATTCTTTATTTTTTCCTTTGTTTTTATTTTATGTGTGCAGGTGTTTTGCATGCACGTGTCTGTGTTCCGCATGTGTGCAGTGCTGTTAGAGGCCAGAAGAGGGTGAAAGATCTCCTAAAACTGGACTTACTTTGAGTCACCATGTGGATGCTGGGAGTCAAACCCAGGTCCTTTGGGAACAGCTAGCTACCCTTCCTTCCTTCGTTCCTTTGTTCCTTCGTTCCTTCGTTCCTTCCTTCCTTCCTTCCTTCCTTCCTTCCTTCCTTCCTTCCTTCCTTCTTCCCTCCCTCCCTCCCTCCCTCCCTCCCTCCCTCCCTCCTTCCTTCCTTCTTTCCTTCCTTTTTTTTCTCTTTTAGTTTTTTGAGACAGGGTTTCTCTTGCTATATTGGAACTCACAGAGATTCACCTGCCTCTGCCTTCCCTCTGATAGGATTAAAGATGCACACCGCTGCCACCACCACCTGATTTTGATTTTTTATTTTTTAAATGCAATGTAACAGTGTATGATATTTTTAAATGAATAATAATGATAACAAACATAATAATGTATGTTATTTGAGGGAGTAATTTAAGAACATTTTTCAGATCTTGAATTTAATAATAGTATGAGCTATATTTAATGTTTCTTAGTCAAACACATTCATAATATAATTACATATATGTACATTACCTATATATCTGTCTACACACACACACACATACACACACACACACACATCTCCAGAATTAACTCTCGGTTTCCCTAATTCTTCTTCCGTTTTGAAGGAGGCTTGTGAAGTGGCTCAAAAATAAATTTCCTATAAATCTTCGCATACCAGAAATAGCTCAGAACTAGAACACTGATGAACGTGAGCATCAAGACAAAAATCAAGGCAGCTACCAGGTAGAAACTTGGGCTAGAAAAAGAACAACAACAAAGAAGCCATTATTCACACTCTGCCGCTAATCTATTCAATCAAACTGTCCTAGAACAGCTAACTCCCCTGCTGGCCACACAGAATGGAGTAGTAAGACCTAGCATCTGTCCTCAGGGTGGTTAAATGTTTGAGGCTGATGAGGAAGAGGGAAGTGATCCTCAGGAGAGAAGGGAGCATGGAGGAGCCCTGTGAAGTGGTGCAGAGGAGGAGGGACCTAAGTGTGGGTAGGGGTCAGCTAGTGCTGCCTGGGGTGGAGGAAGTGATCATGGCAAAACAGTGTTTGTGGCAAAGGGAGGTGGTTTTTTTTTTTTTTTTTTTTTTTACATGGAGGAGATGCCACCAAAGCATGGAGAAACCTTGAGGTCCTTCCAGACATTCTGGAATGGAACTAATTCCGTGTGACTAATACCTCCAAAGTCAGACAGTGTGGTTAGAAATGAGGAGTGATGGGTATAAAGAGATGGGGGGTGTGGTTCAGTGTCGACCAGGAATAAGATCTGAGCTTGCTTTCTCACACTGAGGGAAAAAGGGAAAAAAATAGGCGGGCATGTGTCAGGTAAGGAGAAGCTTACAGTAAGTAGAGAGAGTATGGCATTTATTCAAAAGGCAAGAGAGTGTTTCATGTGTGTGAAAGGGGATAGACATTATGTAAGGCCTATCCTGACTGAATGTGAAGAGTGAACAGAGAAGGCCATGTGAGCCAGTCCTAAGGGATTGGTAAGCGATGGTGTGGGAGAAGAAATGGAGAGATGTGGTTAGGTCCAAGATAGATTTAAAGCTTAGACTGGATTTGTCTTGGCAATTTGTTAAGATGTGGCATATCAGGAATGCGAAGGAATAAAGAGAACCGCCAAGTGTGGGGGACAGTCACCATGAGCTGGTGTTGCTACTCACTGGCATTAGACTCAGAGGGAAGAGGGCAGGCAAGGAGAACTGACTCCAGTATGTTCCCACGCTGGCCTGGAGCTCCTGGGCTCAAGTGATCCTCTCGCCTCAGGCTGCAGAGTAAGGGGTGCTACCCCTGCAGGCTCACGGCCTGGTTACATGGCTGGTGGTGACTGAGCATTTGTGAGTGGGTGTGAAGGCGTATGTGTGAGTGTGTGGGTATATATATGGGTATATTTGTGAGAGCACAGGTGAGTGTGTGCATGCATGCATGAATGTGTGTATTGGCGTGCAAGTGTGCATGTGTGCATGCGTGCATGTATGTACTGGTGTGCAAGCATGCATGCATGCATGTATGTATTGGAAGCTACTCTCTGCTGGGGCCCTTCAGGTCTCTTCACCTGGGATTCTCTTCACATGGGATTACCTCCCAAGCCAGGGGGCTTATTCTTAGTCTGGACACTTAAATGTTCTTTTCTATTTGGGGCCTTCATGTCTGACTAGAACACTTGGTTGTCGTGTTACAGTTTCTCTGGGCCCACAGTTATTTTAGAATGATCTTTCTCCTCTGTGGCCAAGCAAATGGTTCTTGCTTGGGCCATGATGAACATAACCCATCTTCTCTCTGCTAGGCATTGTGCTGAGATGGGAGGATCGTGGGTTCCAGGCCAGCCAGGGTTATGAGATTTTTGTCTTAAAAAGTAAAGTCAGAAAAAAAAAAAAAAACAAAAAAAAGTAAAGTCAGGAAACAAGACTCAAGCAAGCAGATACGTAAGAAACGCAGCACTATCAAGTGCTGCTCATTACCGGGGAATCACTCCGAAGGTCTCGATCGCAAAAATAGCTGTTAGGTTGCAGAAACTGCAAATTAGAAAAAGTGATATTAAAAGTTGAGCTAAATGTATTTAAAATATCCTCTGCATCTCTATGGTAACACTCAGATCATATGTAACTTTTTTAAGGTGTCATTTTTTTGACAAGGACACAATAGATAGATGCACTTACGGAACAGTTATGATGTTTTTTTTTCTTTTGGTGCAAATGTGAAGGGGGATAACCATGCTGTCCTCACAGAATTGCACACTTTGGGTGGTAGTTTCCAAGGCAATGGTCGTAATGACATTAATAATAATAATGAAGAATCATAAGCATCTTCAGAAGTACTACACAGTTAACCGTTGCACACTGAGCCCTATTTCACTGGAGACGGTAGCTAAGTGAACATTTCCTGCAGGCCTGGTGGTGTGCAGAGCACAAAGTTGGGGCTTCTCACCCAGGCACTGAGTGCACTTCTCAGAATAATATAAAGACAGGGATTAGTGGCCACTTATAAACAAATTAGCAATTTGCTTAGTTCTGAATTTTACTCTGTGTGATTAGAACTTGGAAGGCCACTGTCCTGGGTGGTAGTGGCACATGCCTTTAATCCCAGCACTGAGGGTGGGGCAGAGGCAGACAGATCTCTGTGAGTTCGAAGTCAGCCTGGTCTATAAAGTGAATTCCAGGACAGTCAGAAAACACAGAGAAACCCTGTCTTAAAAAAAAATCATTAAAAAAAAGAAAAGGGGTCATTGAGTAGCAGATGGAAAGATGATGTAATAAATTTCTTCTTCTTCTTCTTCTTCTTCTTCTTCTTCTTCTTCTTCTTCTTCTTCTTCTTCTTCTTCTTCTTCTTCCTCTTCCTCTTCCTCTTCCTCTTCCTCTTCTTCTTCTTCCAAATTTTCACCTCCTCCCCTCCTCCCATTTCCCTCCCCCTCCCCCCATTACCCCTCCCTCTTCCTCTCCAGTCCAAAGAGCAGTCTGGGTTCCCTGCCCTGTGGGAAGTCCAAGGTCCTCCCCCCTTCATCCAGGTCTAGGAAGTTGAGGATCCAAACAGACTAGGCTCCCACAAAGCCAGTACATAGAGTAGAATCAAAACCCAGTGAAGATAAGGCATTTCTTAATCCCACTGCCAGAGTCCGTGAGTTTGAGGGACAGAATTGGGAGTTACTCTGTTTTCCATTATAACCAAGGCACATGTGGTAGGACATGCTAAGAGCTCAAATTCCAAAGAAATAAAAACATCTTCTGCCGGGAAACAAAATGCGCTGCTGGTCATAGACATGCAATACATGAGGATGAGGAACTCGGCGTGGTGGCCCACGCCTTTAATCACAGCACTGGGGAGAGAGAGAGAGAGAGAGAGAGAGAGAGAGAGAGAGAGAGAGAGAGAGAGAGAGAGAGAGGCAGCTCTCTGTGAGTTCAAGGCTGGTCTGGTCTACATAGCAAGTTCCAGGACAGCCAGGGCTACCACAGAGAAACCCTGTCTCAAACAAACAATAACTTTAGTCTCTGTGTCTATGTTTACACTAGTTATATGTGAACTAACTTTGGTTTTTCCCCTTTTTTCATTTCTCCTACTCATTTATCACATACATTGGGTGTATTGGTGGTAAGTGGTGTAGGATGTGAAGTCAAGATCATGGCCAAATTAAGGGAGGAACAAAAATTCTTTTGAGAGTTTGGATTTGGCACTAGACGCAATAAGAAGGATCTGTTCCACTTTGGAGGGTAAGTGCATTTTTATGACTTAAGTATAGTTGCATTATCCTAAGAGAACTTCCGAAGTTGCGCGGTTTGGGACAAGGAAATGATGACACAGACTGCGGTGGTTGTTTGCTTAGTCTTTTCAATTCGCCCAGTTTCTCTTCAGCTTCATTTAGTGCCTTTGTATTTTTATTTTAACTACTCTATTAGCTTGTATTCATTGTATAAGATCCTGCTTTTTAGCACGGAAGCTTTCATCCACAGACACCATCAACTTCATCGTGCTCATCCCACACTGCCTTCTCTACTTGAGTGCTTGTTAACCGTTTCTCAAATCCTGGGTCCCTTGCGATTTTCACACACTCTCTTACTTTTGAGATCATTTCACCCTTGAAGTAGCAGGGTGGTCCTTAGGATAATGACTCAAGCCTAAGTTCCTTATTGTTTTATGTATTTATTTGTTACTTTGAGGCTCTAATCTGGGCTGGCCTTGAACTCCCGAAATCAAGAGGGTCTAGTAAACTCAGTCCCCAGAGTGGTGGGATGACAGGCCACACCTGTCAAAGTCTCGTTTGCTTTCATGGGATGCATAATGGAAGCCACCAGAAAGGGTCCATGTTTTCTCCTGACATTGGCAAGAGCCCCTTTCTGCTATCACAGCACTCTTCCACCTGCCCATTGCCAGGGAGCTGCTTAAGCTGCCTTTGAACCTGAATGGTTCCCTTGCTTGGAAGAAGTATTTTCATCCCTGTGGGCAGGGAGAGAAACATGCAGCCCTCAGGATTTCCTTCAGAAGTGGGCTTCCGGGCTTCCATTTGCTCTGTTTTCTCATAGTGGTAGGATGGAGCCCAGGGCCTTGCACAGGGTAGGTGTAATGGTTAATCTACATTGTCGGCCTATCTGGCTTTAGAATCACCATAGAAACACACCTCTGGGGAAATGCCTGACCAAGGAAGGCCCCATTAAACATGGCTGGCACAGTTGCATGGTCCGTGGGGAAAAGAGAGTTGAACCCGACATCCATTGCTCTCTGCTTCCTGACTGCAGCTCTTGACCAGCTGGCTTCTCTCTCGGGTCACTAGGCTGTTATTACCAGGAGAGATTTTACTCTCAAACTGAGACAAAATACAGCCTTCCTCCTTCATGTATTTCTTTTTGGGTGTTTGGTCATGCTAATGAGAAAAATAACCAATGTGTGTGTTAAGGGGACACTGAACCAGAATGGAATTTCAAGCCAACTGATCCAGTTAACAGTTGACATAAAATCTCCTGCTTCCATAGAGTATTTGCTATGATTACCACAAAATAAAAGGCAAACATGAATAATAAGAATAACAAAAGTTAGATGTTTGGGTGGCAATAAACCAAAAAAAATTAAGGGAAAAATGTCATAAAACATTTACTCTCACCTAAAGTTTGGATCCAAGATTCTCACACGAAACACATACATTCCAGAATGGTCCATGGGCCATACTAAATGGTTTCTATTAGTATAGTTTATAATCTCATATGGTTGGTTTAGGTCTCCAGGCTTCCCAATAGTATACGAAAAACAAGTCCTATAGTTCTGAGCAAGAAGAAAAGATAAAAAAGAGGTTATTTCCTGACTTTAACAAAATCCGATTCATAGTTGAGATTTATTTATTTTAATTTTATGTGTATGATTATTTTTGCCTGCATTGAAGTGTGTCACTGACATGCACTACCTGCGTAGGTCAGAAGAGGGCATCAGAACCCCAGCAACTGGAGTTTACAGATGCTTGCGACCAGCCTTGTGGATGCTGCGAACCAAAACCAGATCCTCTGCAAGAGCAACCAGTGCTCCTACCCACTAACCATTCTCTCCAGTTCAGATTCTCATGTATTTATCTTGGGAAGTCATTAAAGAGATGCAATGACTACCCTTTCTATTCTGCCACTGTAGTGCCAAGGCGTGCATGCCACATCCCCTACCAGCCCTCGCTCATGGTCCAGGGAGGAACCTCTGAGGGGATGCCTCATGTAGGCAAAGATAGCCTTAGTTTGGTGAATGACCAGGATGTCAAGTAGGAGTGTGGGAACAGGACACAGATGAGGGAGGATTAGTTCTTCAGGAGGGGTAAAGCTTTAAAGAGACATGTTTGCTGTGGATATAGCTCTAGTAGCAAGGCAGAGATCCAACTCAGCCCATTGCAAGGTGGGTCTAACCCTATGTGGGTAAGGTTGACCTTAGAGTGAGACTCCTGGGCTCCTCTAGGAATGGATGGGATTTCACCACTTAGAATGACAGCCACCCACAACTGTACCACTTGGCAAGTTGGTTTGGGTCTAGAAGTTTGCACTTCCATCTGTCCTGTGATCATATACTTGTTTCCGTATCATAGATGCTGAGTGAAGCCAAATTCTGTCTATAACTGTTGGACAAATAGTACTGGATTTATCTGATGGTATTTCTTTCTTGATTTCTTTATTGCCCCTACATTCTGAGGCCCTTTAATCCAGTGCTACCATGGGTATAATCTATCTGCAGTATGCTAGGTATTGGAGGTGAGTTATGCTATAATTTATTTCATGCAAAGCATATGTGTTCAGTCTGATGAACTATAACTATACATCATGGTGAAAGTAGTAAAAACCCGCATCTTCTACCATTTCTTGCCTCTGTTTACCTTTCTGACACTGCATGTCTGGCACATGTATAAAACAGTATGTAGGAAATCTGTGAGTGAAGAACAAATGAAAGGTTCATAGTTTTTGTTGTAATTTAACTTGAAAATGCAAAATATGCTAGGCATGGTGGGACATGCTTTAATTCCAGCACTTGAGAGACAGAGGCAGGTGTACCTCTGAGTTGGAGGTCAGCCTGGTCTATATAGTGGGTTCCCAGATAGCCAAGACTCTGTAGGGAGACCCTGTCTCAAAAGAAAACTAAAGAAAGAAAATACAAAGTATTTTTCTGGACTTTGAGAGTTCTTGTTTACTGAGTTGGTTAATTCACGAAGTCATGAACTTGATTAAAAGAATATGAGACATTTGTACTATGTGTGGGAACTGGGCCTCTGCTCATCATCACAAAAAGGCCCTGGTCACCAGGACCTGTTTGCCTGCATCACTGTGTGCATTTTTATATGTACACATGTGAGTACTTTAATTCTTTTTAATTTTCTTTCTTTCTTTCTTTCTTTCTTTCTTTCTTTCTTTCTTTCTTTCTTTCTTTCTCCCTTTTAAAGATTATCTATCTATCTATCTATCTATCTATCTATCTATCTATCTATCTATCTATTATATATAGTGTTCTGCCTGCATTCATGCCTTCAGGTCAGAAGAGGGCCCGAGATATCAATTACAAATGATTGTGAACCACCATGTAGTTGCTGGGAATTGAACTCAGGACTTCTGGAAGAGCAGTCAGTGCTCTTAACCTCTGAGCCATCTCTCCAGCCCCCTTTATGTTATGATACTCACCAGTGGATGCCCCTCTGTGTCACATTTGATGTTTCCTGTCATATCATTGGACTCCCCATTCAATTATTATCTTTCCCCTTCCTTTCCATTTTTAAGCCATTACTTGATTAAGCTACTTAATGTCTGAGAAAACAAATCTGCCCTAGACTAACAAATTCACTCCATTTCCAGCCAAGGACTTCTTTGTTCAGGATTCTCAGTCATGTCCAGAGATTCAGATCCCATCCCGTGTCACAGAAAAGTAGCCACCCCTGCAGTGCCTGTGTTGTCCCTACCTAGTCCACCATGGACTTGAAGAACCTACAACAATGCCACTTCTTCTTGTGAGTCTTTTAGATATTTTTCACTGAGAATTTACAGTGCCTAGAGCCACTTCTTGTTGTGATATATTCCTTTACACTGTGTGAAGATGTGTCACTGTGATTGGTTTAATAAAAAGCTAAGTGGCCAATAGTAGTGGGTATAGGTGGGACTTCCTGGCAAAGAGGAAGTAGGGGGAGTCTAGGCCTGTGAGAGAGATGCAGAGTAAGGGAATAGAGTCATGAGGCAGAGAGTAAATTCATAGAAATGGGTTAAGTTATAAGAGCTAGTTAGAAGCAAGCTGAAGCTATTGGTCAAGCTTTCATAATTAATATTAAGTCTCCCTGTTTTTATTGGGGAGTTGATGGTCCCAGTGAAAAAGTCCAACTACAACTTCTCAGATACACATGCTACTCATGCTTGTAGAAGCAGAAAGGCCAGACAGCAATCACTCATTGTAGGTATATTGTTCCAGGAAGAAATGGTCCCTCTTGCAGGGTCGAGTGATGCCCTGCAGTAAGAAGTAGCCTTATTTCCCAGGGCTTAGTTAGCATCGTAAGTACCAACTTTGCACACTGCCCAGATTGTAGCTGGGTTCATGCTGCTCATGACGAGCTCTGCTTCTCATATGGTAGAACAGAGATTGAGGGCCCGGCATGTTTCCTCTATAATCTTTGCAGGTTGTGAACTACTTCAGTGGTTATTATCAGGGACAGTCCCCAGATCAACAACGTCATCTTCATCCTGGACTTTTAGAAATGCAAGTTTAGGGGCTGGATCAGACACTTGCATAGCTCACACAAGGCCCCGGGTTTAATCTCCAGTGTTGGGAAAGAGAAGGAAAGGGAAGGGAATGGAGCAGAGTGAAGGGAAAAGGGGAAGATGGGGCTTGGGGGTTGGGCCCTACTTCAGATCTAGGTGAGACCAAGTTATCTATTTTAACAAACCTCCCAGAGGATCATTCCTGATGTCTCCCGAAGCTTGTGACCAGCTCTACTATTTCATGCTGCTTCAGGCAAATTCCATGATTGTTAACCACCAACCTACCCACTGCTTCCTCATGTACGTTGTTGCTGAATAACATCTGGGAGTACTGAAATGCCCTATGTAACATTTGTTCTGTAGACACTGTTCTTTACACCTTTGCCCGACCCCAGACCCCAGACAAAAATAACCAGGAATGCAAGTTTGGTTTGAACTGAATCCATTATTACTTTAATTCCTCATGATTTTAAGTAATCAGTAGAGGTGGATAAGCTATAGTTTATTAATTAGTTCTATAAATATGTAATGTAATAATACACTAACTAAATATTAATTAGTCCTATAAATACATATTCATTATCTACAGTGAGTTAGAGACTGAGAATAGAGCAGTGGGCAGAAGAACACGGTTCCCTTCTCTCTTGGACCTTGAGTTTTGTTTTATTTTTGCTTTTGCTTATTTAAGAATTTTTTTTTTTAGCTTGAAGTATGTGTGTCTTTGTGTATGTATATGACTGGAGGGCAGAAGAGGGAGCTGGATCCTGATGTGGAATTTACCTCTGTGTGCTGTGATTACCATTGATTACTAAAGAAACTGCTTTGGACCTATAGCAAGGCAGAACTTAGCTAGGTGGGGAAAACTAAGCTGAATGCTGGGAGGAAGAAGGCCGAGTCAGCGAGAAACCATGTAGCCCCCGCCAGAGACAGATGCCAGCACTTTACCAGGTAAGCCACAGCCACATGGCAAATACACAGATTACTAGAAATGGGTTAAATTAAGATGTAAGAGTTAACCAATAAGAAGCTAGAGCTAATGGGTCAAGCAGTGAGATAATTCAGTTTCTGTGTGGTTATTTCAGGTCTGAGCTTCCAGGTGGCTGGGAAACAAACAAGGAACCTCATTACAATAGGATCCCTTAAAGCTAAAGTTACAGGCAGTTAGGAGCCATCTGAAATGGGTTCTGGGAACAGAACTCGGGTCTTCTGCAAGGGCAGTACATGCTCTTAACCACCTAGCCATCTCTCCAGACCTGGTCAGCTAGGTAATGAGATTTTTAAAGTAGGCTGCATAATGTGTCGGAGAGTTATAAATGTTCATAATACTGGAGAAAAAAGGGACAAGAAATGAAGGCTCTCTTGGGAATGATGGCCAGGGGAGAGTTCACAGACTAATTAACTCTTAAATAAAAAAAATAAGATAAATTCTTAAGACATTTATTTTTATTATTTTTAAAATTGTGTGTGTGTATGTGAAGATATGTTGTATATGCAATGTGTGTGTGTGTATGTGCAAGGTTTGTGTGCATGTGTAGGTTGTGTATGTATGTGTAGGTATGTGTATGTATGTGTAGGTGTGTGTATATATGTGTAGGTGTGTGTATGTATGTGTAAGTGTGTATGTGTGTGCAGGTGTGTGCGTGTGCAAGTGTGCATGTGTGCCTGCGGAGACTAGAGATGTCATGCTCCTCTAGATCTAGGGTTATAAGCAGTTTGGTCTCCAAATATGGTTCTGGAACTGAACTCTTTCACTCTGTAGGAGCAGCATGTGCTCTTAACTCTGGGCCACCTCTCCAGACCTGGAAGACTGAGCCTCCATATGCTTATGTATAGTGGCGTTTTGATAATGTACAAATGCAGATTTTCATCAAGGAATATTAAATTTGTACCAAAGAGTGAATAGAAAATCAAAGACAAGAATTTTTTAAATAATTGAAAAGTAGTACTTGATTTGCCCTAAACAATTTAAATCTAAATTGTTTCTATTAAGCTTTTGTTAATCTCAATGCCAAATTTAGTTCTTTACTTACATGAGGTCCCCAGACTTGATCCAGTGGGAGGTCCTTGTTTTGCTCTATCATCGACTTGAACGTCTGCGCTTCATTTATGCAACCACTCTGCCGAAAGATGTCAACATGTGATTATGGAGCAGGCTTTGCATTAGCTTACTTTGGAGTATCTAACGCACTCAAAGATTTGTCTTTTTTTTTTTTTTTTTTTTTTTCTGAGACAAGGTTTTTCTGTAGCTGTGGATGTCAGAAGACAAACAACTTGTGGGCTCCTTCCTTCCACCGCATGGGTCCTGGGGGGACTGAGCTCAGGTTGTCAGGCTTGAGGGAAAGCTCCTGCATCTGCTGAGCCACCTGTGAAGCTAGAGTTGCTAGGGCACCAGGAGAATTTTGGTGGAATTTTATGAAGAACTGTCAGACTATTTTCCATAGCACAAATCCCTTCCTTTTATTTTAAACTCGAAAACAAAACAAAACAAAACACAGATGCCCAAACAAATACACTCCACAACAAAATCCCTACTACTCCTGATTTTAAATAAACCAATCTGGTATGTTTCCCGGAGTCCTACAAGCTCTTAGCATCTCTGAAAGTCTCCACAGCTTCCCGTTTCCTGCAGATAACCATTGTCCTGGCTTGTCTAGGCATCATCCTCCCAGTTCTTCAGTTTCCTCGCTGGCAGTGCATCCCCACATACTACAGTCTCATCCATGAACATCATGTGATAACACCATTTGATCGCTTTTAAACAAGATTACCCTCTCTTCCTTTTCTTACAGCCTTGGCTATTGTCGGTGGCTCTGTGATCACAGGTGTACAAATCCATCCTGAAGAACATTCTTTCCATTCTTTTGAGCGAACAGGCATGGGTGAGGAGAACGGGCAATTGTGCTTTAAATTTCTCCTGTGCTGCTTTACTCTTCCCAGCATGGAGGTGCCCCATTTCTCCTCCATTGCTAATGCTTAGTCTTTGTTTTTATCCTAGTGTATGTGAAATAGCATCTCACTGTAGATTTAATTTAGGTTTCCTGAATGTTCTCAAATGCCAACTAGACATCTGTACATTTTCATTGGAGAAATGTCTGTTGAAGTCCTTTGCTCCCACCTTTAATTGGGTTGTTTTGTTGTTGAATTATAGGAGTTTTCTGTATGTTCTAGACATTTTCCTTATCAAATACATGATCTGAAAATACTTTGTTCCATTCCATGGGCTGTCTTTCTACTCTTGTGTCTTTTTTCTTCTTTGTTTCTTTTTTTTTTTTTTTTGAGACGGAGTTTCTCTGTGTAACAGTCCAAGCTCTCCTGAACTAGCTCTTATAGACCAGGCTGGCCTCGAACTCACAGAGATCTGCCTGCCTCTGCCTCCTGAGTGCTGGGATTAAAGGCGTGAGCCTCCACCGCCCAGCTCTTATGTCTTTTGATACACACAGTTTTTAGATTTTCATGGCATCCACTTTGTCATCCCTTCCCTTCCCCTTCTCTCCCGTCTTCTCTTCCTTTGTCTCCCATTTCTTTCCTTTCCATTTCCCTCTTCCCCTCTTTCCTTCCATTCTCTCCCCCCTTCTTTTCCTGTCCTCTCTCATTCTTTCATCTGTAACTTGAGTCATAGCCAGTAAATCATTGCCCAAACCAATGCTGGGATGATTTTTACCATTCATTTTCTTCTAAGAGTTTATAGTTTGGGGTCTTAAATTTAGGCCATAGATCCATTTGCTGTCTGCATTATGTTAGGTGAGAGTTTCATTTTACTTTAAAAAAAAATGAGTATTAGTGTTTGCCTGAATGTATGTCTGTGTATCATGTGTATGCAGTGCCTACAGTGGTCAGAAGAAGGGATCAGATCTCCTGAGACTGGAGTCACAAGTGTGTGTGAGTTACCATGTGGGAGCTGGGAACGAACCTCAAATCCTCTGCTAGAGCAACCAACACTCTTAACCACAGAGCCCCCCCCCCCGTGTGTGTGTGTGTGTGTGTGTGTGTGTGTGTGTGTGTGTGTGTGGTTATCACTTTACACAGTACTGTTTTTCCTTTATCAGGTGTCTTATATGAAGTAAATCATTTATGTGCTGTGGAGGGGATATACTCTTTAAATACACTATTCAAAGGTGGTAATGAAACCCTGGTCAGGCTCCCCATTCCCTTCCACACCTGAGAAGTTCAGCTGTGGAAGAGAGGGATACAGCTTCCCCAGCAGGACTTCCTAGGGACTGCCCAGACCTGCAGTGGCCAGCCACAAAAGGGGGTCACAACATCCGTGGTCTGGGTCCCCAGAGCCTTTCAGGACCTGCAGAGGCCAGGCGTTGAAGAAGGGTGGCACAGCTCCCCCAGCCGAGCTCACGAGGGCCTGACTCTCCCTGAGGAGTCCTGCCGTGTAAGAATGGTGCACAGCTTCACATGGTCAGCTATTGTGTTGAAATTTCTTTTAGTCGGACTATCCAGCTATCCTAGTTTCAGGCATTGTCATATATGTTCTCTGTCTACAGGTATGGGCAGGGCAAAAGAAAGATGTGCGTTTACAGCTGCCATGACAGTGTGCCGGAATTACAGCTGGGGAAGAGCGCTAGTAACAGAATAAACTAGGGAGCTTAAGCTGGAAAGATGAAAAGGGAAGAAAACTGGTATTGACAGAGAGGAAGAAGCAAAGGGTTCAACATGACAGTGTCTCAGTTTTGTGAGGACAAATAAGGAGGAGCAGGATAGGCAAGAGGGCTGCGGGTGAGCTGTGATGTCTGAACTTACATTTGATTCTAGAAGCTGTGTTATCCAAGGTCTCTATGGTTCACAAGGATGGATGTGATCAAAGTCTGATTATTTGTATTGTGATGCTAGGAATCTTGTTTGTTTATTCGTTTGTTTTTTTTCTGAGACAGGGTGGCTGTAGGATGTCTTTCTGTGTGTTGTGAGTATGTGTTGCTCTCATTGGTTGCTAAGTAAAGCTGCTTTGGCCTATGGCAAAGCAGGATACAGCCAGGCAGAAATCCAAGCAGAGATACAGGGGAAGGGCAGAGTCTGGAGACACCTCCCAACTGCCGAGGAAGCAAGACATGTAGAAAATGAGGTAACAAACCACAAACCTCATGTCAAAGCATAGATAAGAAATATGGGTTAATTTAAATGTAAGCACTAACTAGTAATAAACCTGAGCCATTGGCCAAACATTTATAATTGATATAAGTCTCTGCATGGTTATTCGAGAACTGGTGGGTGGAAGAAAAATTTCCTGATTATACGGGTTTCTCTGTGTAACCCTGGCTGTCCTGGAACTTGCTCTGTCTGTAGATCAGGCTGGCCTCGAACTCAGTTCGCCCATTTGATTTAGTAAGAAAATACTCATATATGATTGCATCATCCTGGCTGTTACATTGTTTTATTTTTTGACCTTTCTTCTGCCTGTCTTATAGGACATCTTTTTTCCCCCCAGAGATGAATCTCAGTAGTCATTGACTTTAATATAGAGTTGATGTTCTCTCTTTTACTTACCTTGGTTTGGTTTCACTTCCCTTAGATAATTTACATATAAATTAAAAGAATGTGTTTAATTGCATGCTAAGTTCTGGTCATACCTGCTTCATAGTATTATTAAAGGTATAGTCATCCCTGCCGTGGATTTCCCACACGATAAAATTTGCTTGGATTATTCTAACAAAGCCATGTTCATTAAACCTGAAACAACAAACACAAAAGTATCTGTGATATAATTGTATCTAATGGCTGTGTCATTGTCCCCAACTGATTGAAATACTGCGTTTCCGCCTCCCAAGTGCTAAGATCACAGGCGTACACCACCATGTCCAGCCCCAGACAGCAGATATCATTCAAAATGAAAACCTAACAGTAAAGAGAAGAAAAATTGGAACCACAACTTTCCCTTATTGCCATATATTAATGAGATGGGACCCTGGTAACGCGGAGAAAGACAGAGAATGAGATGGGTGGAAGGACAGGCCGAGGATCTTTTGGTATCATGAAACCACATTTCATGTGGTGGAGAGGAAGCCATGGAGTTCCTGGAGCGAAAGGAGGAACCGCTGCTGAGTTCCCAGGAGGGAGCAGCTGGAAGATGAGAGAGCTGAGGTGGGGCTGAGAGACAGTCATCTCCATGGCAGCAGGAAACAGTCACTGTCCTCCAGGGACAGGTTACCCCCTTGTGATGCTCGGACAGGACACACTAGCCCCACCAAGCTGAGAGGAGTTCCCTTAGACCCATGGAGTTTAAAAAGAGATCTGGTACTTTATAATTTTTCTCTATCATAAAAAATAAACACTCAAGAGCAAAGATAAACTTATCATCAAAAGATTTATACCTTAGCATTGTAGAACTTGGGACCACACAAATGGTTATATAGCTTCCTTCTCCACCAGTTATTGCTCCCCTCTCCCTACTTCTTTCTTCCCACTTCCCCATCTCCCTCCTTCTCTCCCTATTTTTCCTTCTTCTTTTTTTTTTGAGACAGAGTCCCATAGCTCAGGATGACTGACCTCAGACCCACTACATAGCTGAGGATGGCCTTGAACTCCTTAGCCCCTGCATCTACCTCCCAGCTACTGGGCTTAGAGGCTCGTGCTAACTTTCTACCCCTCCGTATGCTCATGTTTCTGAATGAAATTGTCCCATATACTCATTGGACGGAAATTTCCCTGGAGACTCACTTTTGGGTCCTGTTCTTGCTTCTAAGCTGCTGCCTCTTGCAATGAATGTAACCCTGCTTTTAAAATACAGTTCATCCTGGAAACAACCTAAATGCCGCCCCCTAAATGCTGAAGAATGGGTAAGGAAAATGTGGTACATTTACACAATGGAGTACTACACAGCAAAAAAACAAAAACAAAAACAAAAAAAAAAAACATCTTGAATTTTGCAGGAAAATGGGTGGATCAAGAAAACATCATTTTGAGTGAGGTAACCCAGACCTAGAAAGACAATTATACATGTACTCACTCATAAGTGGTTCTTAAACATAAAGCAAAGAAAACCAGCCCACAAATCACAATCCCAGAGAATCTAGGCAACAATGAGGACCCTAAGAGAGACATACATGGATCTAATCTACATGGGAAAGTAGACAAAGGCAAGATCTCCTGAGTAAATTGGAAGCATGGGGACCTTGGGAGAGGGCTGAAGGGGAGGGGAGAGACAGGGAGGGGAGCAGAGAAAAATATAGAGCTCAATAAAAGTCAATAAAAAATAAATACAGTTCATCATTTGTCAGCTGTCTGTTGATTTACAGAAAAATACTAGGTCCTTGACAATGTCTCTGTTTCCTGACCAGCTCTCGGCTTCACTTCAAAGCTATGGAGTCTGCTTTTCAGGTTGGTTAAAGTCTGCTGCTACCCTACACTGGCTAGCCCAATCGGTTATTCTCCTGTTCTCATAAAGTGTGCGTGGGGTGGGGGTGGGGGGGGTGTGGGGGTGGGGGACGACACATAGACGCAGGTGTTAAGCGGCAGTACTTGGGAAGCCATTCTTGTCTCTGTGTTTCCTAATTTTGAGAAGCCATGAAGAGCTTCGGATCTCAGTTCCCAGACAGGCATGACGGAGAGCAGCTGCTTGGTGTCTGGGCTAGGGAAGAGCCACAGAAAGATTAAAAACTCACATGAGTGCTGTGCACCCCTTGCCACACAAGAGTGCAAGGGCCCTCAGGAGGAGCCAAGCTCAAAAGCTAGCAGCTTTGGTGGAAGAAGGAGTTCGATTATAGCTTGTGTAAGTGGTAGAATTCTTGATTTCCTAAGAATTGGGCGCTGATGAGATGAGGTAGCTGGTCAAGCAAAGGCACTTGCAGCAGAGTCTGATGACCTGAGTTTGATCCCTGGAACCACTAAGTAAAGGGAGGGAGCTGGTCCTGACACCTGACCTCCCCCACCCCCCAGTAAACATTATTTTCTTTCTTTTTTCTTCTTTCCTTCCTTCCATTTTTAGAATTAGGTACAAATTCTATTTTGCTCAAGGACAAAAAGATCTCAGGGACGTCAGGACAGTTAGTGCAAAGAGCCACAGTGCCATCCTGTGTCACAAGCATGCATTGCAGCCATGGTGCCACCCTGTGTCACAAGCATGCATTGTGTGAGCCACCCTGTGTCACAAACATGCATTGCAGCCACGGTGCCACCCTGTGTCACAAGCATGCATTGCGTGAGCCATCCCTGGGTTTGTTTCATTGTGACAGAAGGATTTGCTTACCCAAGCTTGCTCATTTTAATAAATTTTCATGGGTGTGTAATAGAATTCTAATTAAATCTGAGAAGGCAGGGATGTCACTAATTGGCAGCTAAATTCCCAAAAGTTGGTAATTTTTCTGTGGAAATTTGACTTTGGGAATCGAAGAGACCTCATTACTGATCTTCATATTCTAAACTTGGGGATGATCCATTCTGTTAACTAGGTCTTTTATTACCTGTGTTTAGGGGAGCATAAAAGCTAGACAAGCTTGGGGAGAGAGCAAGAGAAGAGTAGGTGACTGTGTACACAGTGGCTGCAGTTCGCCCAGGAGGGTCCTTTTGGTTCCTTTGTTTTGCACAATGATCTAGTAGAGAGGGCGTGATGATTGATATGCCACCTTGCCAGGATCTAGACTCATCCATGAGGCAAGCCTCTGGGCACACCTGTAAGGAATAATTTAGATTAATCTCCAAGCACGCCTGTGAAGGATTTTCTTGGTTACCCCCTGAAGGTGGGTAGTATCTTCCAGCAGTTGCCCAGATGTCAGGAGGTCCAAGGGCAAGCTTTTACTTTTTGTCTCTTTGCCCTTGTGTCTTGGTGTTGTGTTCGTTGACCTTGTTTGCTCCACTAGTGAGAGTCTTCCTTTGCTGACACCAGAACTCAGCTTCTTCCACCTTCCAATGTGAACCGAAGACAAGTGGCTTGCTAGACCAAGACAGTGAGCTATTCTGTCTCCTGGACTGTGTGGCTTCTGCGTTCTGAAGACAGCCATTGCTGGATGACCCAGGTCTTATCTTATAAGACAGTCTAATATATATATATATATATATATATATATATATATTTCATTCTATTCATTCTATGTGCTGTGTTCCTCAGAGGACTCTAAAAGAGAGGGAAGAGATGATCTGGGAGACAGAGGGGGCATTCAGGAACAATGTTCTTAATTAGTAAAGGCTATTTCCTAAGTGGAGAGACAGGCTCTAGACAGTTCACCTATGCTGTGCTGGCTAGTTTTTTTTTTTATGTTAAATTGACACAGACTACATTCATTTGGGAAGAGGGAGGTCAATTAGGAAATGCAACAACTAGATTGGTTTGTGGGCACACTTATGGTACATTTTCTTGATCAGTGCTGGATATAAGATGGCCCAGCTCACTGTGGGCAGCGCCAGCCCTGGGCTGGTGATCCTGGATTGCTATATATATATATAAAAAAGCAGGCTGAGCAAGTCATGAGGAACAAGGCAGCAAGCATCACTCCGCAATGGTCTGCATCAGCTCCTGCTTCCAGGTTCATACTCCACTTGAGTTTCTGCCGTCAGTTCTCTGGATGCTGGGCTGCAGACTGTGTGCTCAAACAAATTGCGTTTGGTCATGATGTTTCAGCACAGCAACGGGAACGCTAAGACACACGGTGCACCGTACAGATGCTTGAAGATGCAGGTGTGTCGACATCTGTCTCACTCCTCGCCATCCTCTCCCTCACCACTCACATATCAAACATTGACTCTTTCTGCTTATAATCACTAATTTCTATCATAGATGAGCTTCTTGGTCCATGGTACCCTTTCAACCATTCCCCACCTCCTAAATATAATTTTACTAATAGGTCTCTCTACTCAGACTTCTTTCCCTAGAATTCAGAGAGACCCAGCTAAAGCAAATAGTCACTCATATGACTATTCTGGAAGAAGGGAGTGAAAGCCTCGCATGGGCTGGACTCTTCCAGGACAGCCTCTTTGCCCCTTGATGTAACAGCACTCTCAACAACTGAGCTATTTCTCCAGCACACAAATTAATTTCCAAAGTGGGTGTAAACTTACAGCTGTATCACAGGTTGAAACGGCATATCGAATTCAAGCCTCTGAGGACAGCCGTATTTTTCCACATCATACCTTACTTTCTAGAAAAGAAAAATGCTTTAGTTGTTGTGTCCATTTATCTCATTGACAAAATGCATGCTTTTCTTACCTTATTTTCCAGTGGTTTATCTCTCAGATATTCCCTGTTTAAAAAAAAAAAAAGACACATGTCATTATCCCTGCTTACACGTCCTCCCTTCTGACTTAAAAACTAAAAGCATAGTTTATTTAGGGTGGGTGTCACAAAAGCCAAGTAGAGAACAGGACGATAAACTACCAAGTGCTTCCTACAAACTGGCACTTTACGTATCCTTTGCCACCTCTGTGAATACAGTCTCACGCCAACCAACAGCCAAACAGGTGCAGGCCGCTGCCCTTCATTTGGAGACGTGGGACCGTTTTCAGAAATCGTATGAAACTTACTCAAGATTGCAAACTTTGTTTCCGTGGTGAGAAGGATACATACACGGTTGGAAAGTCTGTATTCACTGTGTTAGTCCAGTGCCGTGCTCCCCAGAACATAACTGTCCTAGTCATCGTTCTACTGCTGTGAAGAGACACTGCGACCAAGGCAAGACTCTTTTTTTTTTTTTTTTTTTTTTTTTTTTAAAAAGCATTTAATTGGGAGCTTGCTGACAGCTTCCGAGGGTGAGGCCATGTTCATCTTGGTGGGGAGCAGACAGGCATGGCACTGAAGCAATAACTGAGAGTTTTACATCCTGACTCACAGGCAGCAGGCGGAAAGAGAGACACTGGGCTTTGTCTGGGCTTTGGACACCTCGAAGGCCACTCCCAGTGGCATACCTCCTACAACAAGGACACACCTCCTATTCCTTCCCAAACAGCTCCACTCGCTGGTGACTGTTCCAATATACGAGCCCATGGGGGACATTCTCATTCACATCACCACAGTTACTAAATGAAAGAGTCAGAAACAACATATTTTGTTCTTAAAGACAAGGTCTCATGATGCCCAGGCTGTCTTCAAACTCGTTCAAACTCCACCTTGTGAATGCTGGGATTATAGATGTAATACCCCTTGCCTTGTGTGTGTGTGTGTGTGTGTGTGTGTGTGTGTGCAAGTGTGTTTTATCATGCCTGGCAGGTACTCTACCACTGAACCACATGCCTACCTTTAGATGTGTATTTTAATTAATTAATTGACTTGTTGATTGTACATGTATGATGTGTGTATATGTACACATTTGTATGAATGCAGGTGCATATATACCATGACATGCATACGGAGGTCAAGGGACAACTTCTGGTATTTATCCATGCCTTCTACATTGCTTTGCAACAGGGTCTTTTTGCTGTTTTGCCACTGAGTGTTTCTCCTTTCCCAATCTCACTGTAGGTGCCTGGGATTTAAGAAAGATGTTACTGGGCTTGGATTTCCATAGGTTTGGGAAACTTTGCTCACTGAAGCATCTCTCTAGGACCTAAAATGGATTTTTAAACTCCCCAGTAATTCCCTAATTTCAATTTATTCCTTCAATGGAATCCTTCTCCTCTGTGAACTCAAGAGACAGCTGCACATTCTAACTAGGTTCTTACATAGTCATGTAGAAAGTGAGGTGAGGCACAAATACTCTCATTTGTCTTCCTTACGTGAAAAGGAACAATATGGGATTTGAGACTAAGTGATACTTGCCTTTTTTATTGAATTGAACCAGAAAGGACAGTAATAAGTGTGATTGTACATGTTTCAGAGAAGGTTAAGGGTTATATCTCCAGCTTTTTTAAAATTTGGAAACCATCAAGCCAAATACATGCATGCCAGTGGCGTTTCAACCACTAAGTACTAGCTTATTATAGCCTACTAGCTGTTATTAATATGCTTATGTTAGAAATATTTCTTACTTGTCAATCACGTAAGAAAAATCCCGGCGGTAACATTCAGTATTACTAAACCTACAAAAATAAAACAGAGTATAGACAATTCTTCACTGAGCTCAGTGGTTCTTAAATTGAAGACGATTACATAATTAATTTACTAAATTAGAGTCTCTGGGATCAGTTTTCTGCCTTAGTCTGTCTGTCTTTCTTTCTTTCTTTCTTTCTTTTTAAAAAAAAACCTGTTTCACAAACTTCTCATTTACCTCACTTTTTGTACATACTTATTAAATTTTTTAGAAGAAATAGACAAGATCTCCTGAGTTAATTGGGAGCATGGGGACCTTGGGGGAGGGTTGAAGCAGAGAGGGGAGAGGCAGGGAGGGGAGCAGAAAAAAATGTAGAGCTCAATAAAAATCAATTAAAAATTGTGGAGTCGGGGAGAGACTGGAAAAAACAAACAAACAAAAAAGTAAGAATAAGTTTCTATGTGTTTATTTGGAAGCCACATGGCGGGCCCCCAAAGAGTAAAAACAAAGGAAACAAACACACCAAAAGACCAAAACCCAAACTACACTGGTTCATATACTACCTAGGAATAGACACTTGTGTTTGAATTAGACAAGTCATTTCCTAAACACTAAGATGAAAATCCATCAGCACCACCACCTCCACCACCACCACCTCCACCACCACCACCTCCACCACCACCACCACCACCACCACCACCACC